ATGTGGTTCCTTTGAAGTACAGTGCAATCTCCTATATATCTCCCATCTCAATAGTCAATATCAATTAGTCTACTTAAGAACATTATGTGTACCCCTCTTCGCTACAGGTTTAAAAAAAGTGTAAAATACCTCAAGCTATCAAGAACTAAAGATTCTTGTATTTCTTTTAGTTGTTTCTTGATTGTTTTAATCTCTCAAATTAACCATTCCTAAACTCACAATTCCACCTATGGAATCACAATGCCATATGGAGTTGGAATTGATAATCCCAATATTTAACAATCAAACAACCATAACAAGGAGAATAAGGAGATAGAAAGATATCGAAAAGATTAAAACCGAATCTGGTATACCGTATAAACCCCGCTGCTCTCCCTAAAAAAGGAGAGCAGCGGAAACCCTTCTCTCTATCTCGCCTCTACGCACTCTCAACCTCTTTTCGATCGTTAGGGTTCCCGTAAGTTAGCCTCCTTTTATAGGAGAAGTCGGCTAACTTACGGGTTACAAGGATGCCCCCGGGCTGATACACATTTGTGTCCCGTATTACACGTTTAATTAATAACTACACAAATACAAAGATATTTAATTAGATTGGACACCATAAAATATTCCTAACAATCTCCCCCTTGGTGTTCAATCGTGTTGAATCAGCATTGCAGCGCAAATATCTTTGTCTTTGTTGTTATTCAGCTTCCTTTTACTTTGAACTTGACTTCTGAGGAAGGCTATCTGAAGAAATCCTTGCAATTTCTCCTTTGATGTCTTCTTGACAATTTGATCTTTGATGCCGGGGGTTGAGGGACCTTCTGTATCTTGCATGTAGTCCTTAGATTTGACTTTGAAAGAATTTGAACAGATTTGCCTAAGTTTTGACCTGGACATCGGTGATTTACAATGTTTGTCGGGAAACTAACGTTTTGACCCTCAAAGACTGCGAGTGAGGGCGCGTGAGAAAGGATTCTGGGGCATAGCCCGAGAATTAATGTAGATCTTTTCGTTAGCTTTCCAACAAAAAAAAAGTTTGCTTAAATCGGATCACCGAGTCAAAAGTTATGGCCAAAACAGTGCGGTGTCGCAGAAAATCTCTAATTTTGAGTTTTTGAGGAAATTCTTCGAGGTTGAATTTTTCGATGTTGAATTTCGAGAGCAGGTGAAACTAAACAAAATTCTAAGGCAAAATCTCGAAATCCTAATCTCGAGATTTTAATTTCGAGTTTGCCTTGAAGAGTAATGGCGAAATCCACCTGCAAAACAGACCTCAGAATAACGAAATCTTCAGAATTTCAAAATGTTTGGAACATCGAAAACTTTGGAGTTTCGAAAACCTCATAATATCGAAAACTTGCTGTTTGAAAAACATCAGAACATCGAAAACTTCTAAAAACTTTTATAAGCAGGGATTTATTCAGAAATCCTATAATGTAAAGTTTCGATGAACTACAAAGAATGTCAAGATTCGAATTATGAGTTCCAAGAAACTGCAAACTTTGAATGATTCAAAACATCTAGAAATTCCAAAAATTCTTAAATTTTTCTGAATGTCGAAATCCTAAACATCGAGTTGCTAAAACTCGAAATTCCAAAACTCGAAATTCCAAAACTCTCAATTTTAAAACTCTCGAGTTTTTAAAACTCTCGAGTTTTAAAAACTCTCGAGTTTTAAAAACTCTCGAGTTTTCAAACTCTCGAGTTTTCAAACTCTCGAGTTTTCAAACTCTCGAGTTTTCAAACTCTCGAGTTTTCAAACTCTCGAGTTTTAAAAACTCTCGAGTTTCAAAAACTCTCGAGTTTCAAAACTCTCGAGTTTAGGAATTCGAGACCCAAAATGTCGAGATCCTGCAAAATGAAAACTTCGATTTTTGAAAATCCGAAACCTGTTCTGAAAAGCCCTGAAGGTCGAGATTCTCCTGTATCAGTTTCAAGTCAAAAACGTTTCTGCAACAGAGAAAAAAAAGGATTTCGAGATCTCAATGTAGAGATCTTCGAAATATAAAAATTGCAAAAAACGAAAAATAAGGTATGCTGCTGGATCGGTTTTGAACGGCGAGTCCAACAGTATGATTTTTACAAAATTTCGTTCACAAACAAGATTACATGAGCAAATCTCTACACCAAAGAAAAACAGAAGAAAAGCAGAGCAGTTCTTCGTAAAAAGGCAGATCCGAAAAAAAACGCAGATAGATTCAACCTGTTTCACGCCTCGGTTCTGATACCAATTGATAATCCCAGTATTTAACAATCAAACAACCATAACAAGGAGAATAAGGAGATAGAAAGATATCGAGAAGATTAAAACCGAATCTGGTATACCGTATAAACCCCGCTGCTCTCCCTCGAGAAGGAGAGTAGCGGAAACCCTTCTCTCTATCTCGCCTCTATGCGCTCTCAACCTCTTTTCGATCGTTAGGGTTCCCGTAAGTTAGCCTCCTTTTATAGGAGAAGTCGGCTAACTTACGGGTTACAAGGAAGCCCCCGGGCTGATACACATTTGTGGCCCGTATTACACGTTTAATTAATAACTACACAAATACAAAGATATTTAATTAGATTGGACACCATAAAATATTCCTCACAGGAATTCATGGCAATGAGCTCATATGGAAATTTTGACTTGTATATTTTTTCAGAAGTACCTTTTTCATAGTTCCTGGAATCTTGTTCCATTATTTCAATAATAAATCCTCAATAATCATAAATTGTAGATCAGTACAGAATAATGCACTTAACTGACAAAAGAAACTTGAAATAAAACATCAACAAAATTTTAAGTTACAAATCCATAAAATTTCTGTGAGAACTCAAGAATGAAACTAATGATTTGCAGAAAATCCAAACGTGCAAAACAAAAATGTTACAACAAAAAAGATTTTTTTAATTTTGTGAAATCTGGTTCAACAACTCTAAATGTCCATAAATAACTATTTTACTATCAGGATACAAATCTGCACATGTAGAAACTGAAAAGATATACCTTCATCAAATTTCTCCACTCTTGAGGACACAGTCCGGGCAAAGCAACTTTGCAAAAGTAGACTTCCATCCTCTCCTAGCTTTCACCTCAAATTCAACTGATGAAAATAGAAAGTTAACAATAATGGTGAAGCAAATGGATATAATAAAATGGGTATATGATGAAGAAAGTTAGAGCAAGAAGTTTGTACTCTCGTGTGGCAGATTATATCGTTTGGAAAATCTAAATCTTATATCTACTATAGAATGATAAAAGAAACCTTTTGGAAAATAGATTTAAAAGTCGAGAGTTTCACTTTTAGGCATCAACATAATGAGCATCACTACTAAACAAAGAAGTCAGAAAATTAAAAAGCTGAGACTTTTGAAATTTCAAGCAAGGCTCCACTACTCTTCCAATATGTCAAGGGAGATGCTTTCATTCCTATTCATATTTATTATTCACATAAAGTATGCATAAACCAAAAAATGTTTTCTGCCTAGATCTTTATAATGCTTTGTAAGTTCTGAAAACAACTAAAGAGTGTTTCTTTTTTGTATTTTTTTACCTTTGTTACTTAAACATGACCTTATTTCAGTGCCATCAATGTTCCAGTGTCTCTGTTTGCTTTCACTTCGACTAAATTAGAATTAACTTAGCCAGTTAGCCATGTGAAAATCTCAGTCCTGTTGCATTAAATTGGAGTTTGTTTCTAAAGCTGAAATGATTTAGAAAGTGACTATCCATACGGCCATACTGTAAATAACTTTATGTATACTATCCATAGTTTTGTTTTCAACACAGTAGTTGCTAAAACGCCATACATGCTATAAATAAAAATAAGAAACAGAAGTTGGTGTATGCTCATGTTAGTTATTTAAAATACCTGACAATGATGAGGCCATTGAAATGTGATCAGGGTTTTTTATATACTCCACCATCAAGAGAGATTGTGTTGCACAACCACCTTTATCTCACAAGTTGCTAGAAAATATAATTTAAAAACTGTTGATGAGGAAAAAACAAATGAGAAAAGTGAAATAATAATTATTTAATAGTTGCAAGAAAACAATATTTTCAAGTTGTTTTCTTCACCTAATCATTTGATCAAACATGACATAGGAAAAACAGAGAGTACCTCAACAACTTAATAGATGCATAAGTTTAGATATTGTTTCAATAAAAATATGACATTGAGCATGATTGATAGCTACACAACCCTGGAAACACATAAAACATAGCGAGATGGATCTCAATTGAAGGAAATTAAAGTATAAAAATCTATTTTGATGAGACAAAGGGAATGAAATTTACTTTCGTATTGTTCTTCTTGGCTTCTCCTTCGGTTCTTTCTTTTGTTTTTCAATTGGTTTGCACTAATCTCTGCGATGAAAAATGGACCAGGATTGAGAACATGGTGAAGGTTTAACGGGATGGAGAAGGGGATGAAGGCGGGGCAGCCAGCTCTACTGATGATAGTGTATGAATATGTGTGTCTGGGAGAAGAAAACGTACGATTGAGGAAGAGTTGATTGCGCTGATTGGTGTCCGGAGAATGAAACGTACAATTGAGGAAGAAATCAAGGAAGGGTTGCGTAGGGTAACCGTCCAGGCAGTGAGTGCGGGAGAGAAGCCATTAAACGGTGAGAGAAGCGGGAAATTAGTTGTGATAGGATCATTATTGTTATTATTATTAGTATTATTACGATTACTATTATTATTTTTAATTATAAATGAATAGTAGTAAAATATAATTATTTATGGATAATAAAATCTTTATGCAAAAATATAAAAAATGAAATTTCAGATCAGATCAAATTACACCAGATCAGACCAAAATAGACCAGACCAGATCAGACTAAAACAGATCAAATCAGACCAGATCAAACTACATTCCCAAATTACAATCTAAGTAAAAACATCCTTAATACACGTGAAAACCAATTTTGGACAATCTTTTCGGGACGGAGTGAGTATTATTTTGGGATAGATCTTACCGATTTTAGTGTTATCTGTTCTAATTATGACATCTCCGTTAACGTACAACTATTAATAATCAGGAAATAGCCAACGCTGCGTGGCGCGTATATCCAAAATTGTGCTGCTTCACATATTTTTCTAACCGTTAAATTTTCCCCCAAAATTTTCTACACAGAACGGCGCCGGCTACGTGTGCGATTCTTCACGGCCGACAAAGTCATGGCTATAATCGCCGGTAAGGACGGCAAGCTATGCTTTTCGTTTACGCTTCCGTTCCGAAAGTCTTCCCCGTCTTCTTTTAATGGTTCATCACTAGAACATCGTCAGCCTCACAGTCAGAGGCAGCGTCAAGTTCAGATTCTGTCGTGCGCTAGCGTAGTGTCCTCCCTAGCGCGATCTCTTCTCCCTATACCTTGTCCTTTGAAGCTCGACCCGGCAAAGAAGCTGTACTTCCCATGTATAACATCTCTTTAACTCATAGTATGCGCTCCTATCATTATCCCTCAGTCAATTTCCCTAATTAATCCTTTCTTATACGATTAAAAATTATCTGTAGTTGTGTTTTTTTTTAAACTTACCTGCTTCTGTTGTGGGGTTCGGGTTTTTTAGTTGAAAATTCAGTAATTGTGAAATATTTGGGGATTTTCATATTTGGCAACTCCAATGGAGCACCAAATCACCAATTTGGTGTAAGAACTCAATCCAATGCAGCAGCTTATTGTAGGTGTAGACTACATCTTCCTACATATGCAAACTGGTTACATTTAAGGAAATTAATTATCAGTACCACATAACTTCTGAGAATGAAGGTTTGGTGCATATTTAAAAGTGATGTGATGTAAAAAATATATTCAATAACAAGAATCTGGAGGTGTCCCTTTTATACTTCCTCCGCACCAATTTAATTGCATTTTGCGATTTTTAAGATTAACGAGCGGTAAAGAAAAATCTTCCTTACAGACAATCAAATCAGTTTTAATAATTAAAACATACGTAGTATATATTCAGAAATTACATTAAAAGTTCTATGAAGTCGCGAAGTATAAATTAGAATATAATGAAAAATTGATATGCTACATAAGTAAATAAAGTGAAACTGTATTGACCAAGAAATGTTTACTATGCAAATTATTTTGGGTTGGAGAGAGTAATATTGTTTGTAGTTGTATTTGTACTCGTAAAAAAAAAAATTGTACTCGTAATATGGCTGACTGTTAGAATGTTTACAATGTTCTACATTTTTATGGAGAAAAAAATAATATATAAGTATGTCCTTTTCTAAATATATATTGCATATATGTAAGTAAGTATGTGTGTTTTATATAGCCTACAGAACTGAATTTCTTTTTCTTCTCAAGTTTTGAGCATCAAAATTTTATCAATTTCAAGTTCGGTATGCCAGGGAGGTATAACTTTATCACCAATCAATGATCTTAAGTATTGATTGGCAATAATGAATGGGATGGAGGGAGTATATAATTTGATATACCCTGTAACAATAATAATCAAGTACCTATTAACATAAAAAAAATTCGAATTTTGAAAAGTTTCCTAATACAAAAAATGAGTTTAATAGTTTTTTGAAGAACTTGAAGTGAAAGATCAATTATAATGATATAGGTTGCACCAATTTGGTGTTGGATGCACTGGAGTAGGAAAGGATATCAATTAAGAATATTCACAAAAAGTAAATCTTTTTACCCATTGGAATTGCTCCAAGTCATTTGCTTTATAATGGATGTTTTAAATTTATTAATGATAGATTATAGCCATAGTAATCCATATTTTGTAGCAAGTACTTTATGGAACAATGTGAATCCATTGGATATAGCATTTAAAATAGTAAAAGGTGAAACTTACACATAAAGAATAAAGTAGAAAGGAATGAAGAAAGGAAGCAAGGTCTTGTGCTTAAGTGTCTGCTGATCTTCCTTTAGGAATACTTACAATCAGTCAAGAATCACGATTCCATCATGCCTGTAACTCTGTTAGACAGGGCTGGTCTAATTTGATTATTCTTTGATTGACTGCAGATGAACCTGGAAAACAAGTTCGAAGTGCTGTTAAGATTAAAAATACAACCAAGTCCCATGTAGCTTTCAAGGTAGTAAAAATATTCAAATTATATTTAACCTTTTTCTTATTTCTCAAATTCCATGCATTCTTGAAAGTGTCCCTAGACCTCTATTCAGCTTTCATTGTGCTCTAATATCTCATTTATGCAATCTGTCTTATATCATCAATGATATTTTCTTATGTTGGAAGTTCCAAACAACTGAACCAAAAAGCTGTTTCATGCGACCTCCCGGGGCTGTTCTCGCTCCTGGCAACAGTTTAATAGCAACAGGTAATATATTTTTCAACATTTAATATATATTACAACATTTAATAGCAAAAAGTAAGCCAATAAAGACTCACTATTTTGTGGCTTGGGAATATCGTAGAATAAATCAAAATGGCTACCTAAACTGTTTGCGCTTCTTTGTTATGAACCAATAGTCAGCCCATGCAATTTTCAACGCGATTTTCATCCTGGGTCATCCAGAAACAGTCTCCTTGTGCTTTAGTACAAGGGTAAGGCTGCGTACATCTGACCCCCTTACCCCACCATAAGTGGGAGCCTTTGCGGCACTAGAGTAATGTTGTTGTTGTTGTTGTTGTATTTAAGATTCGTCAATTCTCATAGGTTTAAGATTTCAATTTTTTTGTTTAGTACTTTACAAGTCTTGGATATGGTAATGATAGGAATCAGGCCCATTAGACTAAGAATAGAAATATTAACAACAATAAATGTAAAGACAGTATAAATAGCTTGGAAAGGGGAGTTAGTAGTAGGCTTTTTGACTCTTTGTCTTGGGACTTTGGAAGACTGAGACTAATAATCTCTTTTTTTGGGGGGCTACGGCTCATTGGGGGCTTCGGCCATTGTTACGGAACTGTTCTTCTTCAATAAGATTTCATTTGTGTTGCTTAATATCTTCTGTGAATTTTCTGTACATCGGGAGCTTGTTCTAACATTGGTATCAGAGCACGTTGATTCTGTGGATGGAAGTGACGCCTTTGAAGATGGATTTATGGATGAACGAACTGGAGGAGAACCAAAAGAGATTGAAGGAAACATTCGAGAGGAATCAACAACGAAATCAACAACAGATGAAGGAGATGCTTAAGACGATGCAGGCAACGATCGCGAAATTGGCAGAGCAACATCAAAGTCGTTCGCGAAGTGGATCACATGCCTCCTCTGCTTCGCATCGCTCCTTGCACAGTACCTCACACCATAGTCATCGTTCGTCGCTATCGCGCACAGGTTCGCAGTCAGAGTCGCGAACTACTTCCCATGGCTCGCAATCGCGAACTTCAGGTTACTGTTCACAGTCGCGAAACAGATCGCATATGTCGCACACTTTGCACCATTCAAATCCTTCTTCGTATAGCTCTTCGCAAAGTTCTTCGCAGGCAGATTCGCGAAAGGTTTCTTCGCAGAGTTATTTCCCTCCCACTCAGAGTTCGCCTCCTTCGTCTAAAGTCTCTTCTCGGAATTCAGCTAGGTCAAAGACGGAGGAATTACCTCTATTCCACGAGGTTAAAGCGTACGCATGGATAGAGAGGATGGAAAGATATTTCCGAGTCCAAGCTATTGCAGAAAGATTTAAAGTGGACCTTGCAGCAAAGGCAATAGCAGAAGCTGCAGATGGCTGGTTTCAATGGTGGGATTTTCAAAAGAGAGAAGATAGTTGGGAGGCTTTAAAGGAAGATTTGATCAGGGATTTTCCACCTAGATACCAGCAGAAGACATGGAAGACAGCAAAACCAGAGTCATCGAGGTCTTTGCATATCTCTTCGCATAGCTCTTCTCATAGCTCTTCGCATCAACATTCAAAAAAATTGTTGCAAGTAGGAGCTCTCACCTCGCAATCGCCAGTTCTGTCAAAAGTTAATTCTCAATCTGCACAAGATTTTTCCCAGTCAATAAAGAAGATTATGATGGAGACAAATGAATCTGTAATCAAGAAAGTGAACAAGAGAGATGAAATCAAGGAGAAAAGACCAGTTAGTCCATGGCCAGATTATGTTTCTTTTAAACTTGCAGAGGATGTGGATTTAAATTCCAGCCAAGTTTCGGTTACTGACAAGCTTATCCAACCATGTTCCTTTGGAACTAGAGTTCTAATGATTTCAGAAACTAGTACAGAGGCTCAGGAGGAGGAGGTTGAGACCTTTTCAGGAGAATCTGCTATTATATGGGGAAACCACTCACAGATTCAGGTTGATGACAAGCCAGGGGTTGAGAGCATGTTAGGCTACTCCCAGCTTGTCTTACATGATTCATTTAAAGCACCTGGAAATTATCTCATGTTGGAAGATATCTCTACAAAGACAGCTCTATTCTTTCCTGATGTTTTTGAATTCATCACAAGGTTAATACAGAGAATGACCCTTAAGAACTACCAGCTAGCTCTAGGCGAAGTTGTGGATACATCAAAATTATCAAAGAATCTCTATGGTGATCCGTTCCATTCTATGGCAAGATTTTCTGGAATGCCAGGAATTGTTATTTCTTCTGAATTTGCATTGGAGCTTCCTGATTTTCAGCTGATGGGTGCATTATACAAAGAAACAAAGCCTAATCTTAAAGTTGACAGCAAGGTGTGCAGTATAATGGAACAAATGTTACTTCGGGGTCATGATGGGGAAATACAATTGGAGATTGTTGAAGTCTTAAATTCAGAAAGAGAAATACAGCATGACTCAAGTTCTCTTAAACTTTCTTCTGACCTGAGTGAGGATGAAGTTTGGTATGAGCTATTCAGTGTGAAGTCTCACTCAAGAGATAGGATGAAATCAGAGGCAAATACTGTGCTAAGGCTGATCAAGAATTTTCCATCTAGAAGACTAGAAGTATGGGAACTGCTGCTACCGCCATCAGCGAGGTACTGGGAAGGGAGAGGAACCCGGAGGAAGCTGAATTCCAAGCTTGGTTTCTATCTCCCAACCTTGAGGACAAGGTGGATGTTTAGGGGGGGAGTATTGATATGAATCAGGCCCATTAGACTAAGAATAGAAATAATAACAACAATAAATGTAAAGACAGTATAAATAGCTTGGAAAGGGGAGTTAGTAGTAGGCTTTTTGACTCTTTGTCTTGGGACTTGGGAAGACTGAGACTAATAATCTCTTTTTTTGGGGGGCTACGGCTCATTGGGGGCTTCGGCCATTGTTACGGAACTGTTCTTCTTCAATAAGATTACATTTGTGTTGCTTAATATCTTCTGTGAATTTTCTGTACATCGAGAGCTTGTTCTAACAGGTAACTATGCATGTAAAAAACTACATTTATAAGTACTGTTTTGCAAGTAGTAATCTTTGATTGTTGCACCATTGCTCTAGTTTTCAAGTTCATAGAGCCTCCAGTGAACAATGAAAAACGTAATCAGAAAAGCAGGGTGAAATTCAAAATCACGAGCATCAAGGTTAAAGGAGAGCAGCAGTATAAACCAAATCTGGTCAGTACCAAACTTCATTGACATCAGTTCCTTTCTTAACTGCCAATACACATGAGTCATCCTCAGGACAGTGGTAATCAAAGGCAGTGTGGCCATATTCAAAAAATGATGATGGTTCAAGACGAAATATAAGATGGTCTACAGTTTTCCTACCACCGTGGCTCTGTTGATATTTCTATTTTTGAAGAAGGTGCAGTTATCAATAAAGACAAATGCTAGTTGACAGAAAATTAATTAGAAGGTATATGAGTCTTCAGATAAAGGAAAAAATGCAAGGAATGTAGATTAGAATCAGCCTGTGATTAGATAAGTTACCCCACACACATATCAACAGTTCAATGTGTCTATTGATGACTATATAGTTAAAATACAAATAATTGTTCTTGAAAGACAAATAATTGTTCTTGTGTTTCTTAACAGTTTGAAGATCTAAGTAATCAAAGAGCTAAGGAACAGATACTACAGGTTGTTTTTCTTGATGCGGAACGTCGTTCTCCTGTGAGTACTGTGTCTATATTATTGCTACCAATTCAACACTCGCTGGATCATTATCATCACCTTAATTCCACCTATGGTGGGGCCGGATACATAAACTTTATGTGCCAAAGTAACTGTCTAAGAAGTACTCCGTACAGCCTAGTTAAAGCTTCTTACTTGCCTTTTTGGATGTCTGAGTTAAAACTTCCCATTTCTATTTTAGGAAATCATTAACACTATTAAATGACAAATTAATCATCAAATATTCCAAATAATACACTTACAACACCACGTTTATCATCAATGGCCTCGTTTTGGTATATACCCATCAAAACTATATCTCAAAATACACTCGAATTACCTTATTTTATTATTTTCATAATAACTGTGCCATTTTTTAACGAGAAGCTTTAGCCGGGACGGATTTTGTAGTCACAATAAACTCATTTAAAAAACAAAGCACAATGAGGTTATGATGTTTCTAAATGTGAAGATGTGATTCTTTTGAAAGCTCAATTTGAAAGGGTGTGTTACTTCGCCACCCACCCAAAAAAAACCTGTAGGCTTTGAAGAAACTACAGCGCCAGTTGGCTGAGGCTGCTGCTGCTGCTGAGGCTTGCAAAAAGCTAATGGAAGATGCAAGTCAGAAGTTTATTGGCGAAGGACTTGTGGCAGATGAATGGGTGAGAGATGCTCACAAAACTTTGGTTATGTTTGGATCCCAGGAAATGCTAGGGAAAGAAGAGGAAATGATAAGAAAAGTTATTTCATGTGTTTGGTTTACCGTAGAAAATGCAAATGAAAATGGAACATTGTTAATGCTTTCAAAATGTTCACATGTGATTTAGATGCTTCAGGATTTACATAATAGATAAATAAAAATAGTTTTGAACAAACATAAAGGGTAGCCTGGTGCACATTGACATCCCCACAAGGCGAGGGTCCCGGAGTTTTGAAGAACAACATCCAAACCTTATTCCCAAAAGATTTTGGAGTTGGCTAACATGAATTGATCCATGATATCAGAGCCATAAAAAGAAAAAGGATAAGAAAAATAAAAAGATAATGTAAGATAAAATGGATAAGATAAAGATAAACATAAGATAAAATTAACATAAAAACATAAGAAAGATAAAAGAATATAAGAAAGATAAAAGATGAAAATAACATAAGAACATAGAAAGGTAAAGAAGATAAAAGATAAAAGAAAGGAGAGAAAAGAGAGAAAAGGGAATTTTGAACAAATATAAAATATAAATTCATTGAGTTGGAACCAAAGTTGTGTGATTGCTAGAATCTTCTGTCATTCCAAACTTTGCTCTATATTTTCTTTCCTGAGCATTTCCGAGTTCCAAACCATCACATCATATATTTGCAAAGGCTACTTTTCACATCACTGAGCTAGTTGTATGCATTAACCCTTGTGTTTTTAGAAAGAAAGAAGAGAGAGATACCTAGCTCAAGAACGCATCGGATCTGTTGAGTCAATATAAATAATTTGGTGGTTCCTTCAATCACTGCTATGCTCTAACTGGAAGAATGTGCATATATTGTAGCCTGATGCATATACTCCATTAAGTAACTATGAAGAGAGACGATTATAATGCCCTTGTGTCATTTAATCACGTTATTTTACTCTTGCTACTAATGTGTACTTTGCATAAAATGGCAATAGTTGATGGTAGTGTGTTTGTTATTTTGTGGATAATTGGACATATGGAGTTCTAACCAGCTTCACTACAGCAGTATATATGTACATGCAGGGCTTCAAAATTCTAAATGGAAGAAAAAGGTATGTCTCATAGAAGGAATTATAACTTGGCAAGGGAAAATTGCATTATTTTGTCCTCCCATTGTTCTTTATCCTAGAATCTAGCCATATACATTGTCAATTTCGTGGATTTTAGCCTTTCAATGATTTAAAAGGTGAACAAATAGGCCCCTCACGTCTTAGTGCTACTTACTAATGTTACTGTTTGGTGATTCCACTACGATCAAAGAGTGACAAATTTAGTAATCTACTTTATAAGCATTTGAGTGATTAGATTGCAAGATTAGGAATAATAATAGTCTGTCAGTTTTCCTTTATACAGGAGTGTGGTCTTGTAAATACGGTTTCATTATTTCCTTTAATCAGGATTTGGAAACAGATTACTTAGCAACCTAATTGATAGTGCTGCAGTTATGGGTGCGTTTTAACTTGTAAGCAGATAATCTCGATCCGGTGCGTTTGTTTTAATTGTTTATGTGTTGAAATGAAATTGATGATAAAGCCGCCAGATCACCATTTATTGCATAATAACGACAAAAGATGTCCACAAAAGGCCGGCCATCCTTCCATCATCAATCGGCCGCTAGAATTCCTCCAAAACCATGTCTCTTCTCTCTTCGCCAACAAAACCACTCTCTGTCTTTAGAGCCAAACAATTGCCATCTCTAACCTGCTATATATAAGGTCTTCTTCCACCATTTTTATCCACTTCCAAGTCTTGAAAAGAAGAAAAAATCTTCAAAAGTATACCTTGGTACGTCAAGATGAGCTACATTAGCAGAGTATGCATGGCGGCTACTGTTGCAGTGATCGAAACGACACAAAGGGAAAAGTGCCCATCAAAGTATTACACAGCCTTTCGGACGGTGCGGCCAAGTAGCACCAGGACTGGCGGCAGCAGTGAGGTAGAAGTTGATGAGTCTGTCCAAAAAGTGATGCTTATGAACTGCTGGACGCAGAGCTAGCTTGGGAAGAAAATTTTGAATTGAGTGGAAGTGCTTAATTATATATAAAAAAGTACTCCATATTAAAACGACATACATGTCATTAATAAAGTATAAAAACGATCTTTAATTTCGTCATTCCAGCTCAAAAGTACTAAAGCCTTACACTACTATTGTTATTTTCATTTCATTATTACTATTATTCCTATCACTACTACTAGCTTTGAAGCCCGTGCGATGCACGGGCAGTATCGGATCACATATAATGTGATTTAAAAGAAAAATAAACTTAGTCTAATATAGAGTCTGTTTGATAATACTAAAGTAAATAGAATTAATTTATTTTGCTGAAATTGATTGAATTCTGGTTAAATAGGTGGAATCTTCTGAATTGTGAAAAATATATGTGAAATATATTCCATTTGTGAAACAAAGAAAAAAATATATGAAAAAAAAGTTAAATTGGTCTTCTACATAAGCATCTCAAGTAAACATAATTGTTATGAACCCAATAATAATAAAAAATCTATATTTCTTAACTGTTAGATCTTATAGTTTACTCATTAATAAGAACGTTTTTAATTGAATTAAAATTTCGGGTTTGATTTGGTATGAATTAATATGGCCTATTAGATGTCTGTTTTTTATGTGACTTATTGTTATAATTATTTAAGTTTGATCTGATCCGATTTAATCTGGAACTGAAATCAATCCAATTAAAAACATTCTATTAAAATAAAAGTAGGAATTCGTAAACCTATAAAGATTTTCTAATTTGGATTGGGAATCTATTTCAAAAGTGAAGGCATATTTGAATTTTAGGTGTAAAATAAAGAAACAACCAAAAAAAATTACTTATTTGGCTAAGCTAATCATATTTACTTGTGGAAATATATATACTTTATGTTGGTTATAATTTTTAATTTCATTTTTAATTATTTACTTATTTGAAGCTTACTAATTTATTTATAGGTGTCAAATTAATAAGTAAACTAATTTGCATATTTGTTTCTATTTAATTCGGTGTAGTAAACTCATATAAATTAGTTTCCATATCAACAAACAAAAAGTTCACTTTGATAATCAAAAATTATTTTACTTATTTGAAGCTTACTAAATTAATTAAGGTGGATTTATAAGGATTTTTGTTTCAATATCAATATGCAATCAAAAATAGAATCTAATAAAAACAAAAGGTATAAAAATAAGTAAATAATTGTTATATATAATGACATGCCAGGATTATGTGCCGCTTTGTATTCTCTTAAAAAGTTCATCTTTTATATATATATACATATACATATATATTGATTATTATTGTTGTTGTTAGTATTATAGTCTAATACTCCGTACTTATGAAGCGGTTTATAAGTGAAATAAAAAAGATTAGGTTTCATTTAAAAAATACAGGCTGAAATGTTCTCATTTCGACCATAATTTGCTCACTTCGAATACACAGGCTGAAATATTATCCTTTTGACCAGATTTTGAGTCTGAAAATGAAGTGCTCGTATCTTAATTATGTACATGAAGCATCTTTCAAAAAAAAATTATGTGCATGAAGTAGAACAACTTTACCAGTCACCATATTTAATTTATTGTATATTTCTATATGATAAAAACTCTAAACATGACAAACAGTGGTGAAGCTAAAACTATGAGACAGAAGAGGGCTGGCCTAAGGATGGACCCGATTTGGTTCGATTCTGGGTTGGTGCCGGACCGGTTTGAAGAAATATGTAATCAGTATAATTTAGAAAACATAATATAAATAAAATAAGAAGTGCTCGTATAAAATCATATTTTTAATTTCTGTACGATGATACCTGAAGTGAGTTTTCTCGCACTTAAAAATAGATTGTAGTAAAGCGTGTAAGTACGAGTATCGTCTCCATAGGGATAGACAAAAGGGAATTAAGAATTAATTAAATTCAACGATTAAAAATAAATAAAATAAAATAAATTTTGCGAGATTTGATTGATTGGAAAATTAACTTGCAATAAAACGAATACTAAAGCTAAGGGGTTCTTTCTAATTAACGACGAAGGGAATAAGAATTGATTCCGGGGTAACCAGATTTCTGGCAGATCAGGTCTAATGACATGAAATTGATTTAATTGAGCCTAACTAGTCATTACTAAGTTCTTACCGCTCTCGCGGCGTAGAGTACAATAATTTAGGGGACAATGCTGATCTCTCATGCGACATGATCCTAATTATTGCCAAAACGAGCGAGCTTACGGCTCCCTAATCGCTACTAATCTCTTAGCGAGCGATTAAGTGTGTGTGAATGTGTCCTAGAATAAATTAGATCTCTCTTAACTTATTCTACAAGCAATTGTAATTCTAGCGCGCCTTCTAGGTTACAAGAGATATCCGTTAAATTATTCAAACACAAATTAAACGGCATTCATGCAATTAATCCATCAAGAATCTAGCCATACATCATGATTAACCCCTTCATCAATCCCAAATCCCTAATTAAACTACTCACAATTCATAATTGAAGAATCAAAAGAATTGGGCTGAATAAAATTAATTGTCATTAATTAAAAAGCCGGAACTTATAAAGAATCCCAAAAGATTGATGAACAAGGTTGAAAAGCTCTCTAAATTTCGTGCTAGACACTCTCTCTAAGCCCACCCTCAAAACAGGGGTTCACGGGCTGTTTAAATAGGAAAAACGGAGCAATTCGGGTTGAATTAGGACTGAAACGGGGCACGCAAGGCGCCCACGTAAAAACGTTTGTGTAGCGTCTGTGCGTCCGACAAACTTGTGCGTAAAAACGTTGGACGCACGCGTGCGTCCCCCCACGCACATGTGCGTGGCTGCCAGTGAGTTTTCCGGTTTCTCTAGTCCGAATTTGACAAAACTTCCTTCATGAAAGTTGTAGATAATGAAGTCCGTTATTCACCACAACTTGCCGAATTTGATTTGAATCATCCAATCAAGAGATATAAATAAAATGATGGAAGTTCTGATTCTGAAATCGCAACAGGGATCATCTGACTTCATAGTCTGTTTTCACCTTCTTCCTCATAGGTTCTCGCAATGGTGTCTTCATATGATTTGTAGCACTTGACGTTGGCTTTCATATGAGACGTGAAGCGTGTCCTTTGAATGCTTCTACAAAGAGATATGCTTAAATGATTGACAGAAGGTCATCCTGAACTTCGTTTTCAAGCTCTATTCATCTTCATTTAATCTCGTAGCCGATCCTAGAGCTCTTTTCTCATCAAATCTTCATTGTGAACCTCCCGATGACTTGAAGTGTGTCCTTTGGATGCTTCTCCAAATCTATCAATTCACTCTCGAATGCTTCTCAAATCATCCCGTTTGCTCCTCAAGCGCTGGTGTCGGACCCTAAATTCCTGGTTTCGACCCCAAATAACACAAAACTCGAACCGACGCCTGGTACACATAACTTGAGCTAAAATTGAGATTTGTGACACCTAAGGGAAAACATCAAAAACCAATCCCAACATGCATCAAATGCGTGTCTAAATACGGACTTATCAGATTCCCCCACAATTAAGCCTTTGCTTGTCCTCAAGCAAACTGAACAACGGGACTTACAATAATCACCATACGGAATTAAAATAATTAACATGCACAGGTAGTTAAAGGGATATTCACAAGACAGAAACACTAAACCAAGAAAATTCTCTCCTAAACTACATCTTTGTACTCTAGCTAACTTAAATGACAAAATTATTCACTAAACACTAGTGAATTAGCTACTGATCAGAAGGACTTGTGAAGGCGGTGGTGAGTGGCGGATGGTAAAGAATAAAAGTCCCTTTCATTGAGAGTTTTGGGAATAATCTGACACAGACTTAATGCATTCAGGAATTTCAGGGCTATTCTTAGGATCAGAGAGTTCAGCAGGACACAAATTATGAACTACTCCCTCCGTCCCCCTAATATTGGTACGGAAGGGTGTGGTGTGGTTTTTAAGAAATAGAATTATGTGGTTGCTAGGGGTGGACACAAAATACCGTAACCGACTAACCAAACCAAAAAACCGAAAAACCGATGTATTTTCCGGTTAACCGTACCGGATTGTTTAAAAACTTACGGTACGGTTAACCAACCACAAAGAAAAAACGGTAATGGTACGGTTATGGTTAAGATTATGTTAATACCGGTTAACCAACATGTACATGTTTTGTAACATTTGCGCCGAGCTGCGACGTGCTTCCCATGAAAATTGTGCTCATGCTTCCAGTTCCCTCCCAAACAATCATGTGGAATATATTATAATACGTACATATAGTGTTGCTCTGTATGGTTACTCCGTATTATTATTACTACGTATTATTATTATGCCTAGCTGGGAAGCTCTACTTTAAAAAAAGCAATATGTCAAAAAAAACTATGTATTACTGTATTATTATATAGCTATCTTTCAAAAAAAAACTAGTTGCCTAGCTGGCTAGCTCTACGTTTACAAAATTGTGCTCCGTATGTACAAAGTTTAAAACAACAAGAATATTGGTAATTTTATCTTTCTCTTTCGGTTTATTGGTTAACCGTTATTGGTTAACCGAAATATTGGTTAACCGGTATCCGGTTAACCAATGTTATGGTACGGGTAACGATATATAAAATTGTGTAACCAATATCACGGTTAACCGAAAATTGGTTAACCAAAATGCGGTTAATCAACCGTGCCCACTCCTAGTGGTTGGTAATGAGTTGATAAAGTGGAAATAAAGTAAGAATGAATTAGAGCCACACAAATGTTACCAAATATGGAATGGGACAATAATAATTAAAGAGATATCCAAAAATGGAAAAATGGGACAATTATAGGGGGACGGAGGGAGTATCATTTAAACCTATGCAAAGAGTAGACATGATGTACAACTAAGCTAAATCGCCGTGGCACATTGGTGCTTTGACGTATACTTGAAGTACGCGAAGGACTAAACCTAATTTTGTTAAAGCCTCCAAGTTCATTAAATAAGTTCAGTTTTCCTTGTCATGTTGGCACGAGAACGCCATTTCATTCGAAAGATTCCCGAATCTCATCTTATTGTGCAAAACACTTATGTTTTTTGACCGGATCTCCCATTCTCTTTTTCGCAAGGTAAGAGGTCTAGCTATATTAATTTTTTCAATTTTCAAATTTTCACTAGAAATTACCCCATTATAATCTCGGCCTCACCAAGGAAAATTAGCAATTAAAGTTCAA